TTTTTTTTTATTCTCCTAATTTTTGTTACGGCTTTAAAAACTTTTTTTTCGCATACACTAAGCAGCATTAAAAACATTTTCAAAACAAGGATCCTTCCTCTAATATTGGTCAACAGGTAATTTTTTAATTGAGCAAAAATATAAAACCAAGCTGGAGTCATTTTAAGGACACCGGTGACTTCAATTTAGTAAAAATTAAAATGTTGGCTTTGGAAATCCCACCAGACAGCTAAGAATCATTTCAAATCGCATTTTAAGGGGGGGGGGGGGGCAGGGGGCATTTAAAACGACTTTTCTGTAAACCTGGGTTAGCAAACTGGCACTCCCAGAGCGCCAGTTCAGGGTGATGACTGGAGTGAGTCCAGGTGGCTCCTCGAAGACTATTTCGAGAGATTTTCAAGTTTAAATGGCACAAAAGAGAGAATTCCACCGTCTTCACCGAGAACCCTCGGCCAGAGGTATTTGCAAGCAGGTTTCGCGTCTGGGCCGGGGCCTGGGGGCAGCACCCTCGAAAGCAGGCCGGCGGCCCGAGGGCGAGGGAGGCCGGGAGATGGGCCTCGCCCTCTCGGAGGCCTAACCGGCACCCGGGGGCGCACTGAGGTCCTGGAAGCGACCCCCGGCGCACCTACACCCAGGACGACTACTGACCTCACACTTTCCGCCGCACAATCCCTAGGAGCGTGTTCCCAGCCCCACATGCTGGGCCCACAGCCCTCTCCCGCCACCACGGCTCACCGTCCGCCTGCCCCGTGGCGCACGCGCAGACCTACCGCGCGAGCCTCGGCCGCTGGGGCTCCAAGTGGCGCCTGCGCACACCGCCCTGCGCCATCCCGCTCCCGCTGCTCTCACGCTCACGTGCTCACGTGGCCGCTGAGGCCTGGGCATGCAGGGCACGTTGGGCGGGGCCCCGCACGCACGCACGCACGCACGTGGGGAGCGCTGCGCCGGAAGTGGGGGGGGGCGGTGCCTCACACCTGCGGGTAAAGGCAGGTTCCTTTCTCCAGGCGTCGAAGACTGTCAAGTCGTGGCGTGAATTTTGTGCTCTTTCCTAGTTTGTTAGCGCTGATTCCAGTTTTAAAACAGCGAAATTAGAAAAATGCCAACATTCGTTTTACAAGAGGGAAAGGAAAAAAAATGGCCTTGGTGCATGAAAATGTTTTCAGATTGGTAGCTTCACAAGCATTTCTCGGCCCAGCCTCTTTCTCTCTTGTGTTGGCTTTTTCCACTGCTTCAAGGGGTGGGGGTGCGGGGGCGGAAGGGAAGAGAAGTAATTAATATAGAGTTTAGGTGTCTGGTTATGTATACATAATACAGTTTGTGGCAAACCTTGCACAACAGTTAAAATTATCTCCATTAATTCCTTGATTGAGGTATAATTAGCAATAAGCTGCAGGTATTGAAAATGCACAATTTGATTAAACCTAACGTGTATATACTCAGTGGTTCTCAACCTTCCTAATGCCGCAACCCTTCAATACAGTTCCTCGTGTTGTGGTGACCTCCCAACCATAAAATTATTTTCATTGCTACTTCATAACTGTAATGTTGCTACTGTTATGAATCGTAATGTAAATATCTGATATGCAGGATGTATTTTCAGGGGGCGAGACCCACATCGTCCCCATAACCAAGATGATAGTCATTTCATTTACCCCAAAATGTTTCCTCTCCTATTTGGCTCTCCTATCTACCCCAAGCGGCAGACATGAGTTTGCATCTTCTACAATTCTATATTCATGAAATCATACAGTACATATGTTTTCTCTGGTTTCTTTCATTCAGCATAATTTTCTTGAGAGTCATCTATTTTGTCATCTGTATGAGTAGTTTGTTTCTACTCATTGCTAAGTACTATTCCATTGAATGATTATAATACAATTTATCTACTTTTAAGACATTTGGATTGTTTCTAGTTTGGGATTGTTTCAAATAAAGTTGCTATGGACGATCAGGTGCAAATATTTGTATGGGCAAATGTTTCCATTTCTGTTGGGTTGATAAATAGGAGAAAAGTAGGGTCGTATAGTTGAGTGTGTTTAACTTCTTAGGAAACTGCTAGGCTGTTTTACAAAGTAGTTTTACTATTTTATATCCCCACCAACAGTGTTCAAGAGTTGTAATTGCTCTATACCTCACTATTTTTTATGACCAATATTTTTAAGTTTGGACATTTTATGTATAGTGGTATCTTTTTGTGCTTTTAATTGGATTTCTCTATTGACTAAAAATATTGAGTATCTTTTATTTTCTATCTATATAGCTTCTTAGGTAAAGTGTCTGTTCAAAATTTTTCCTATTTTTTTGTTTGTTTGTTTGTTTTCTTGTTGAGTTTTGCAGTTCTTTATATACTGTGGATATAACTTTCAGATTTGCAAAGATTTTCTCCCAGTTTGTGACTCTTCATTCTCTAAAAGCGGGTATTTCAAAGAGCCTTTGATGAAGTACAATTTATCATTTTTGTCTTTTATGGATCATGCTTTTGTCTTATGTCTAAGAAGACTCTGGCTAACCCAGAATACGAAGTTTCTCCTATATTTTCTAGAAGTTTTACATGGTTAGGTTTTACATTTAGACTTAAAATCTTTTTTGACTTGACTTTTATGTAAGACGCAAAGCATTATTTCTTTACATATGAATATCCATGTCATTCTCTCTGAGAAAGCCTTATATTCCACCCCTTGATCCAACACCCTCGAGATCTACCCCTAGACATATTTCCTGCCAATACATTTTTAACCAGGATCTGCAATTCATTCACATTGTAACCTATCCTATAGCAGGCATGGGGAACCTTTTTTTTCTGCCAATGGCCATTTGTATATTTATCACATCATTTATGGGCCATACAAAATTATCACCTTAAAAAGTAGCCTGCTACATTTGGTCAAACATTTAATTAACTCACCCCTGCCTTGGCACAGCCAGACCAAATGATTTCTCAGGTCTCATACAGCCTGGGAGCTGGACATTCCCTCCCGGTCCTATAGGAAGGACTGAATTTCCCCACCTAAGGTATGCTGAGACCTGATCCTAGTTATCAGTTTGAACTCAATGAGAAGTGGCAGGGGTGGCTATGGAGGAAGACAAGTGTCACCTTACAATGCAAGTGCCTTAAAGTCTTTGCAGGCTCTCCAGGCAAGCACAGGCTGCTCTCCTCTAGCAAAAGAGGAGAAGCTGCTTCTGCCAATTCAAAAGTTCAAGAAAACCCAAGGGTTCAAGATCAGGCTCACCAACACCAATGTCCCCATCCCGTGATTCCGGGTGGCAGTCTTATCCTGGCAGCATGCGGCCTTGGCTGGAGGGATGATTGAGGCCGTGCATCGTTTCCTTCGCAGCCTTGGCACTTTACTACTAACTGTGGGCCAGTTGTCAGTGCAGATCGTCTGCACCTGCAGGAGATGAGACAGACTTTCCGTAAAGCAGTGGTTCTCAACCTTGGCGGTACATTAGAATCACCTGGGAATCTTTTTAAAATCCTGATTTCTGGGCTTCATCCTCCAGAAATTCTGTTTGTTTGTTACTAATGTTGTGGCCCCACCCCATAACAAAGAAACAGAATTTCTGGAGGATGAGGCCCAGAAATCAGGATTTTAAAAAGATTCCCAGGTGATTCTAATGTGCCGCCAAGGTTGAGAACCACTGCCGTGAAGGGTGCCATTGAGGCACTCTGGCATTGACGGCAGGCCTTGAGGTAAGCGGCCAACATGAACCTATGTCATTTTCCTTCTTCAGGGTTTCTAAAGCACTCAGCTCACAAACATCTCCATCTTTATAATGTCCACCAGTCCTATCCCACTGTAATGCCACAGCTACTGTATAGCCTAACATGTTACCTTCCACCCGCACTTCACCCAAATCCACTATGGTAACTGTGATGCTTCGTGCCAGGCATTATCAGTGTCCCACTTACCAACACCTGTGGGGTCTTTATTGTCATCTGTCCAGTGGAGGATCCGGTCACAGAACCCCATCCTTAAGTTTTGTTAAGTCTGTTCCTGGTACCCCTCTTAGCCTGGTTTAACCCCACTGCCCCAACCAAATGCAAAGCCTAAGACAAATGTTAATACATACAGGTAATTTATTTGGAAAGTGATCTTAGAGAACCTGTTTGTACACATATTCCCAAGAAAAAGCCCCAAGTCTGAAAGGAGGGCAGCGAAAGACCAAAGAAAGAGGCAGGCAACTGGATTCTGGCAATCAGCAGAGTTTATTCAGGGAAACTTACATACCAGGCATGTCTTGGTGTGGGCGGCTGCAAAAGGAAGTGGATATCCTCCAGGCACCAAAGAATTATACAGAAAAGGGCGAGATGGAGGGGGTACGGGTATGTCATAGGTCCCAGGTGCGGGAAATATGCCGTACATACTTGCCAGGTCAGGACAATGGCCTGTTCCAGGAACCAGCACAACATGGGACACAGCAGAGGCTCTGGTTTACGTCAGAAGGAAAGTACCAATTATGATCAGACAATCTCTGAGAGGGCTTGCGGGAAGCACCCTGTTCTGACCCAGGTCCATCTTGTGGGTCACATCATGGAATAGCCTCCCCTCCACAGAACCAAGGGAGGAATCAGGGAGTGGAAAGGGGGGAAAGAGAAAGCTAAAATAAGGATACACCCAAATAGTGGGTGGCTGGGGAAGCTTATGAAAGGCTTCTCAGAATTGCCTTCCCAGCAGACAGGCAGACAAGGGAGTGTTCATCCATTGGCTTCCCCCTGGGGGTTACTCAAGGGTGGTCCCAACGTCATTAACTCCCCCGTATCTTTTACACACGTATGATGCAAAGGGTTCCAGTGCGTATCCCAAGCTAGTGTCAAAGGATCCCTGGAGATCATGACATGGTCCCAATACAGAAGCCTGCTTGGTTGGAAGTGTTTCACAGCAGTACTGAGGAGGAGGTAGGGCTAAGAGATTTGAAGTGGACATAAGGGGTGTCAATACAGTTACATGTAAGGCATAGTTAACAAAACAACTTAAAAATCAGGAGAAACTGCTAGAAAATGATTATATAATTTTGAAATAGCTTTTTATTAAAAACGTAAATCAACATTACAAAGTTCCAAAAAACAAAAAAATGATCATTTTAACTTACTATTTTGAAACAGTGGCCCTATATATTTGTTCAAAATCCCCAATAACAACAATGTGCGAGAGAAACATTGATCAGCTGCCTCCTGTGTGCACCCCGACCAGGGATCCAAATGCAGCCTGGGCATGTGCCCTGACTGGGAATGGAACTGGTGACGTTTCGGTCCACAGGATGACGCTCAACCAACTGAGCCACACCAGCCAACGCCAGCTTTAATGTTTAGATACATAGTTTGAAAAAGTTAAATTATGATAGACTAAAGATATTTACTATTCTTTTGACTAATAGGAAAATAGCCTCATTTGTTAGGAGAGATAAAAAAGTATAGATAAAATAGTAAATCATAAAATTTGATAAAAGTAATATACCAGGTAAGGTAATTTCACTTATTTAAATCAAGAAAACATCCAAAAAGGCCTTTTATATACTAACAGAAGTAAACAATTTGAGAGACAATAAACTATATTATATTTAAATAAACACCAAAAAAAGATACATTTGGATGATGGTTTTAATTTCCCCAATAATCTTCACGAAGGTTTTGTTTTTGATGGCACTGGTGCTTTTCCTTTATGCTTAGCAGCCTTTTCCATTTTTATCTGTAAATGTAAAATATTTGTTGATAGAATAATTTTTAAAACATTCTAAAGAAAGAAAAGGTTGCACATACTTCACTTGGATTCATGTTTTATTTGCCACAGCCACTTCACACAGTTACATAGCAATTATTAATGAATACCAATGCCAAAATCTGAGAGTTGAAGGGACCTAATTGCATTTTAAAAATATGGTCTGAATTCAACTTTACAGAAGCATTTTCATAAAAAAGAATGTATAATGAGTACTTCTTTGGAGAAAATGAATAAATGTAATTTTAAAGGCCATTCAATATTATTTTCTAAAAGCTGAAATACCTAACCTTCCATCAGCCTAAACACATTCACTTACAGGGTTATAGAACACACCTAAGCCAGCTGGGTTATTTCTGGAATGCGGACTGCTGTAAGGGTGGTTTCCTATCATTCTCGTTTCTACATTTGCACAGTTCCCTTTCTAAAGGTTGTCCTTCTCCACGGAAACTGCAGCAAAGAAGCTTGCATACCCTAAGCAACAGCCTTCCAACCTTTTAGAAACATGTAACCCTTCCCACGGGGGAAACAACAACAGAGAACACAAAACCCACCTGCCTCTTAATGCCGCTCACACACACCAATTCCCAGAGGCAGCACCACTGCCTTACTCCGGGCAAGAGAAGGCTGAGAAAATTTGGGGCATGGCAGCTGCAGGCAGGGCCTCCTACCCTCAAAGGCAGTGGTCGGCAAACTGCGGCCCCTTGAGTGTGGCTCTTCCACAAAATACCACGTGCGGGCGCGCGCGGACAGTGCGATTGAAACTTCGTGGCCACACTCAAGGGGCCAATGGACCACATGTGGCTCGTGAGCCGCAGTTTGCCGACCACTGCAGCGGTTCTCAACCTGTGGGTCGCGACCCCTTTGGCGGTCGAACGACCCTTTCACAGGGGTTGCCTAAGACCATCCTGCATATCAGATATTTACATTGCTATTCAAAGCAGTAGCAACATTACAGTTATGAAGTAGCAACGAAAATAATTTTATGGCTGGGTCACAACATGAGGAACTGTATTTAAAGGGCCAGAAGGTTGAGAACCACTGCTAAGGTGACATGAATATAATATCAGGAAACCAGTCTTCCCAATCTCATCAAATTATAAGTGATAACTTCCTAATAATAAAATTGAATGAATCTCATCTCTGTCTCCTCCCCATTGTTCCTGCTCGCTCCTGTTTAAGTTGGTTGGGCACCTCATTCAGAGACCATGCACTCAGATCACTCTTGCACACTGTCAGTCAGCAGGTCAGCTGAAGGCCCCAAAGGAACACCCTATTCTAAGGCAAAGATGGTTGGTTTTGGAGTCAGAGGGAAGAGTACTCAAACCCCACCTCTGTCGTTTATTAACTATTTGAGGCAAGTTATTTAACCAATAGTTTTCTCATTTGTGAAAAAAAGGTCATAGTAATAGGTACATCTCAGGGTTGTTCTAAAGGTGTAAGTAAGATCGTATGTATAAAGAGCAACATACTTAATAAGCACTCAACCAATACTGGTCTCCTTTCCTCTCTCATTTAGGCCGTTAGATTTACAGCAACATTAAAAATTAGGAAAGATGCTAAAAAAACAAAAGTTAAGGAAGTGTTTGCTCATTGAAATACAGACACACCTCGTTTTATTGTGCTTATCTTTATTGCACTTCACAGATGTTGCTTTTTTTTTTAACAAAATGAAGGCAAGACCTCCACCAGCAAAAAGATTACTGCTCACTTTATTGCGATACTCAGTTTATTGTGGAGGGCTGGAAAACCAAGCCCACAATAGCTCCCTCCCAGCTAGGTCTGTACAAGCACAGCATTACTTTGTAAGTGCTCTGAACCCATCAGATTCCGTTTCCTAATCTCCCCTTTTCCCTCAATGATGCATGTCTTGGTTTTTTGGAATAACAGAAAAGTACTAACAATGAGTACAGCACATGTCAGCTCAGAAGTTGTTTAAGTCTGAGCTTCTCCGTTTTTACATTCTATTAATCAGACAGGCTGGAGAGTTTATAAGCTGTATCTCATAAATCCATAAATCACACAAGGCAGAGAATTATAAACTACATCTCATAAATCCATAAATTCTAGGTCTAGATATAACAAGCAGTCTGGATGGTTATAATAAGCATCCAGGGTGGGCCAGGTATATCCTCCAAAACATTCATGGATAAGAACTCCCCTCCATTATCTTCCCACAAGCAAATCCCACTGGCATGTTTTCAAGGCAGCCCACACTACCTGGACTTCTGGAGGAGGGAAGGGAGAAGTTCTGGAACCCTGTCCCTCATAAGCCTTTGAGGAAAAACTAAAATTCAGCCGTTAATGTGTGTGTTCCAAGAACAGAGCTTGACTTGATTAAAAATTTATCCCTAACAATGTCACAAAAATCACCTTTCCTTTTGTTATTCTGAACATGTCATCTTCCTCCTGGGTTCCTACTACCCCCTTTTCCCTTAAAGCAGAGCTTTCCCTTAGACCTATCCAGGAAGGTAGCCACTAGCCCCATGTGGCTAGAAATGTGGCTAGTGTGACTGAGGAAGTACAGTTTGATTTATTTAATTTAGACTTACAGAGTCACGGCTACAACACAGATACAGAACATTCCCATCACTGTGGAAACTTCCATTTTCTAGCTCTGCCTTAAATCATACGAGGACTCTCCCCGCTACTTCAAAATTCTTCAGCAGGAAAACAAGCTTATCTCTGTCCCCTACTCACTTCCTCTTCTCTTGGAAGGTAATTTATATAATAGTCTTCTTTTTCTTCATCTTTTTGTCTAAGAGTTGTGGAGGATAGGACAAAAGGTGACAAGAGTGTCTTTTCTTTCATGGCACTTATTACCTAGTTGGAGAAATTAAAAATGCCAACAAGGCAACTATAAAATCATCCTAAAGAAAGCACTTCGGAGAATGTGCCATATGGCTGGATAACACCCCCCAAACCTCATTAGGCCAACATCCTTTCATCCATCCATAAACAAAAAAAACAAAACTCTCAAATATGAACACCGCATGAAACACATCAAATGTGTAATCAGATGACATATAAGAAAGGAATATCAATGATGTTTATTTTTTTCCATAAATGTTTATTGAAAACATATTATGTACAAGTCGCTGTACTTAGTTCTGATGAATAAAAGACTACACTTAGCCCTAAGGAGTTTACAGTGTGGTGGTGAACTGATGAACACTATCAGTACTGAAATCTAGGAACACTTTAATACTGTAGTTGTTGAGCCCTAGAAGATGTTAAAATACATGTATGATTAGTGTTCTGTTTCTTAAAGGCTATTGAATAATTTTAACTTCAGTATGGATATACCTAGAAGTCACTAAGAAGAAGAACTAGAATCCCAGCAACAACACAGCACTGGTAACTCTTACGCAGCCAGCTCTGGGCAGTGAACGTCCACTGGACAGAGAGGCCCTATAGCCTCAGAGGCCAACCCCAGAACACTGCCACCCAGAGACTGACCCACAAACTGACTCTTTGCTAAACACAAAATAAGGCAGTCTGGGAAACAAATGCGGCTTGCTTTAAAATAAGGACTGTGGTTTACAACACAGAGGAACAGGGTATCGCAGGGAAACTCAACACTCTCCTGAATACCTGGCAGGTCTAAGGCGAGCCACACTGAAGAATAGAAGAACCGAAGGACCTTCACTACTGCAATATTTTTTTTTTTCTTTTTTCACCTTTTAACTAAGAAACCAATTTTTTTTTCTTTTTTTTTTTTTTTCTTCTTCTTCTTTTTTTTTTCCTCTTCTTTTTTCCATCACCTGATTTTACCCTTTTAATTACTACCTTCTTATTTTTAACCAGCATTATTACTGCTACCATTTTACCATTTTTTTTTAAAGTGCCATTTTATTTTCTCTTTATTTTATTTTGGGATTAGTGTTCTCCATTCTATTTTCATCGTTATATTATTGGTTGTTCCTAGTTTGCATTCATCTCCAGGGAGCTGTTGCTGGAATTTGTTGGGATTAATGGCTGTTCTATAGGAGTATTCTCCTCATATAAAAAAGTCTCTTCCCCTCTTCCACTTCATTCTCTCTTTTCGCTTTTTTTTTCTTTTCTTTTCTTTTCTCGCTTTTATTTTCCCCCCTCCTTTTTCCCAATTTCATTTTTGCACTCCTTTTTTTGGTCCCTAATTTTCTTTTCTTTTTTCTCTTTTCTCTTTTTCTTTTCCTTCTTCCTTATCCCCTAATTCTCTTAATTCAGGTGGTCACCTTTATTTGGGGTTATTAATATCGTGAATATATTTGTGTATAGTGCCTGGTACGTGGTGCCTTATTGTGTTGTATTTTGTGCCTTTAAAACAACGCAGCAGATCCAAGCAACAGCAACCTCCTGAGCACCACACCCTCTGCTGAGGAACAGCAGCTGTACGTGAAACCTTGCCCCACCAGCCAGAAGAGCCACCACAGCTGTGAACAGCACCCACCAGAGGAGCTGCTGCCAACTGAAGGGCAGCTGCTACCGCAACCGCCCGAAGAGCAACCACAGACCAAGGAGTCACTGCCACCAAGGGAGCAGCCACTGAACGACTCAACGTCTAGATATGTCAGCGAGATCAAACATGGGTAGACAAAGAAACCCCCAAAGGAAGAGAAGGAGGACTCTCCAGAAAAGCAGCTAAGTAATACAGAGGCATGCAACATGACAGAAAAAGAATTCAGAATAAGGGTCCTAGAGTGCATAAACCGGATGGAGGAAAAAATCGACAACCTCTCCAAGAAGCAAGAAGAAACAGATGAAAAAATCGATAACATATGGAAGAAGCTAGAAGAAACAGATGAAAAAATCAACAACTTAAGTAAGACCCAAGAAGAAATGAAGAGTGATATAGCTGCAATGAAAAACTCCATTGAAAGTATCAACAGTAGACTAGGAGAAGCGGAGGACCGAATTAGTGATTTAGAAGACAAGGAAGCAAAACACACCCAAAAGGTACTGCAATTGGAGAAAAAAATGAAAAGACA